TGTGCGTGATGCGCCATTACAGGTAGGCTATTTCTCTAAACCTCCACACAGCTCATATATTTTTCCGCCAAGGGGTGAGAACGTAATGATTACGAAAACGATTATTTATTTTTGATAATTATTATTTTATTTCAGTTAGTTTTTCAATAACTGTTGTTAGTTTAGTTTAGTTTTAGTTTTTCAATTATTTTGACGTTTTTATTTTATTTCAGTTTACGAATTTTTTTCATCAATCGTTTTAGTCTTAGTTTTAGTTTTCGTTTACGAAAATAACCTTGGTGTGTACACATCCATCCTATAATTATACAAATCCATCCAGTGTTTTTTTTTTTTAAATCCCTATTTTAAAATCCCCTTCCTCAAACCAGGCTGTTCTGAGATTCCTGTCAGAATGACGTAGTTCTGTACAGGATTGATTAGATAGTAAAAGTATACAAATACACGCCAAAGAAAACAGGCAAGCCTTTTTTACTAAATTAATCTACACAAGTCGCGCTTAATGTCATGTGTGTTGAGATATTTAGTATGAAAATAAGTTCTGTACAGGCCCCTCCCATGATAGTTAATTAACAGTAGTGTTTCAGCACAGACTGGACTGGTGTCTTACCTTAGACCCACCCTGAGTGAGCTGTCATCAGTCCGCCATTGAGTTGACTCTGGTGCAGGGGAAGACAAGATATGTCCGATTAAGCGATTGAGGTGCTTTATTGTTTGGATGTAATAATGAATATAGCAATCGTCATTTACTCCCGACATCTGAGCTGCTGAAGACGCAGAGGATTAACGTTACTTTCGCTTTGAAGTGAATGCGCCACTCCCGATCAGCCTAAATGCATCTGTTCGCTCGAATCATTCGTGATCCAGCCTCATTTACAGAAGAAGTGAGTATAAGGGTTTTTTATGAATCTTTGCAAATCACCTTTCCTAATAATGCGCCAATTAGCAAGTTTCACGATGAATGCGGCTAAAGTAAACAGTCAGCAGCAGCTCGGAAGAGAGGGGCGGGGCCAGCAGAGCTCATTAACATTTAAAGCAACATGGACTATAATGGCTTGATAAAAACAGAGCTGATTTTGACCGGTTTAAAAAAGTGTTTTTTACACTAACATTGAGAAATTTTAACCAAAGTATGTTATAGACTTTTAATTAAGACCCTAAAGAATCATATCAACTTGTGCAAAATGAGCATCCGATGACCCCTTTAAAGATTTTAAATTAAAGATGCGATTAGAGACAAAAAAATACCCTATTACAAAAATTTATAAAGGTAACCTAATTGCCAGAAAGGACATTTTTTTTAATTATCCAAAGTCTCATAGCATAATATTAAAATTAATTTAACTGAATGGCTTTTAAGATTAAGAATTTATTAATTGTAATTAACATAATGACACTGAAAATTACATTTTACTTTTACATTTACATTTAGACATTTAGCAGACGCTTTTATCCAAAGCGACTTACAAATGAGGACAATGGAAGCAATCAAAATCAACAAAAGAGCAATGATATGCAAGTGCTATAACAAGTCTCAGTTAGCTTAATGCAGTACAAGTAGCAAGTTTAAAAAAAAAATCATATAATAAAAAGAAAACGGATGGAATAGAGCAAGCTAGTGTTAGAGGCCTTTTTTTGCTTTTGTTAATTGTATAATAAATAGATAGAATACAAAAAGATTAGAGAAGCAAGTGTTATTATTATTATTTTTTTTTTAAGAAAACAAGCAGTTAGTAAGTAAATAGTGCAAGTCTAAAAGGGGCAAGTTTTTATTTTTATTTTTTATAAAGAATAGAATTATAATAGAGAGTGCTAGAGTTAGAGGGTCAAATAAAGATGGAAGAGATGTGTTTTTAGCCGATTCTTGAAGATGGCTAAGGACAGCTGCTCTGATTGAGAGTTGGGCAGGTCATTCCACCAGGAGGGAACATTTAATTTAAAAGTCTGTGAAAGTGATTTTGTGCCCCTTTGGGATGGCACAATAAAGCGACGTTTTATTTGTTTTTGAGTTTAATTTTATTACTTTATGAAAGAGGAACATATTCTTTATTTGATAATTGCACTAAACAGTGGGCATCTGAGTTACAAATTTACATTAATCTTTGTTGTACACTAGGGCTGGGCGATATGACGATATTATCATATATCGACGATGTCTCGTAAGCATCGCAATGTCGATGTCAACAGTCAGGTAACAGACGATTATCGACATTATCGGAAGAAAAATGACAAATGATAAACCTAGTAAGTTGCAAAAAATATTTGCATAGCCCCATAGTCACCATACAGGTCTTTTTGCATGCAAGAATTAAATAATTTAGTAGGAGATTTGGGAATCAAAAAGCTATTCCAATTTCGGAAATCAGATCAGATGCGTAAGGTCAGGAATCAAATTACTTGTGATAAAATTAAATTTAGATTCTGCTTCTCGATTTCTGTATGTGCATTTATTGTGATTTCAAAAGATTCAACTGCAAGAAGATGAAATAGAACTCACTTCTGCACTTGCGCGCTGTTTTCTGTGCTGCGCACACACACACAAAGCACATGCACAAAAGCAGCCTCTTATATGCGCGAACACTGGACTGAGCTCTCTTTCTCGCATTCTGACACATTAGAATAGACAAATACACAGAATTATATCGAAATATCCCATAAATACAATCGGTTATATGTCTTAAGTGAATGTAAAGAGTTGAGAAAGAAAACAAGGGTGTATTGGATCCGTGCATTGACAGTAGCCGCTGCCGCCTGTCATTAATGTTAATCAAAGAACAAAAGAGAGGAAAATTCCTCACTGATCTTGACTGAATCACTTTTGTAACCTCAGTTTATATTTTATTTGCCTGTTGTTCGGCGCTGACTACTGTAATGGCAACGTGCATCTGTGTATGCGATTATTTTGGAGATGCATTCCAAAACAATTTATCCTTATTTAGGGTATAGGCCTATTCTATTTTGATCTGCAGTTTAATAAAAGTTAAACAGAAAAAAGACAAAGTAGCACTGCATGTGTTTCTGAGTATTTATTTAAACAGACTGTATAATGATGAAAAACCACAAACATGACAGGTATAATTAAAATACACAAATTCCTTCAGCGCACATTTCAGTGCAAAATTTTTTACAGATTTTTTAAAACCATGTATACAATATAATTGTTTAATTAAGCTGAGATATAGCTATATGAGATATAACATTCTTAATTCATTTGCAACAAAACTATAAAGTTTTTTTGCAAACGGATGAAGACATTAGTAAGCTTCTCAGCTCGCCCCTCAACATGCACGCATTTGGAGTTTCGGCAGCCCAACACTGAATATTACATTTTGGGCGTTGTATTTTGATTAATAAAATAAAAATTATAAAAATTACAATACAGAAATGAAATTTAAAT